AATCTGAGATATCGATATCGATAAAAGAGATAAAAGATAATCATAAGTAACAAAGAAAACGGGATCTCTTTCGGTACAGATGACACTTGATATAATGTATTGTTATACAGTAATACTAATTAATTGATTAAGTAGTGGATTCACCTTGCAAGAGATCCTGAAAATGCGAACAAGAGAAAACTGATACATTATGTAAAGAATTCATATTTAGAATTTCTTGGCATAAATTATATTATTTAAAGTAAACCGGCGTTGCTTTTCGGGAACTATACGTACGTACGCATGTATGTACATGCTTAACTGCTATAGTAATAATAATAAATAGTTTATGTTATAATTACGTTGTTAAAATCGGTGATATGCTGTGTAATACTTTGTAATAAAGATTGTGTATTTCACCGACAATTCGCGTGTTACAATTTAAACTAAATTAGTAAGCACCAAAATGCGAATTTAATTGTATTCTATAATGATTATTTATTTAATGTTTTACATTAGGCAACCAATTTTGTCGAGTAAATTCATCACAAGGTGAAGCTAGTAACGGTTTTTGGAGTAATGAATCAGTTCACTATAATGATGAGCTCATATATTATTAAATTTTGCATCCGTAAACTCTATTGCTAATCCAATAAGTTTGGAACAGATCAGCCTCACTCTTAAACTCCTGTATCAAATGTCTATACTCTAAATCAGAAATGCCCATAAATGGAATGATAATGGATTTAAAATCATTAAAAAATTGTAGCAAATTAAGTAAGGCTATTTCTCCGATTTTGTCTTCCCAATTTCCTAAAGGGTGAAGTATCTTTTGAACCGTAACATTTGATAAACATTTTGTAGAATTCATTATCGATTCTAGTTTTGAGGTTATCAGTGGATTGATACCTTTAGATGAGTAGTATGATCGTACTGTTAAAAGAAAGGAAGAGATTCCGATTTAGAGTGTTTGAGCGATAATATAATATGTAATATAGACAATAGATCAAAGAATAAAATTATAATTACATGAGTACATCAAACGCTGAGCCGAAGGTCCTTCATTTCCACCTTGACAATCAACATCCATAATCTCTAAATATCCCCCCGGTTTTAAAATTCTCACAAGTTCATTTATAAGTGTTTCAAATTGATTTTCTGTTAATTCCCAAGATAGGAAACCCACATGTATAAATTCAAACGTTGAATCCTCAAATGGGAGTGGTCCTAATTTTGAGAGATTATGATCTTTTATAGTGAAATTTGGAAGTGTCGTGCCATTTTGGAGTGAGGTGTTTGAGTCTATTTTGGTGAATAAAGCATTTGGATATTCACCGGCCATCTCTAGGGCCCATGGTCCACTTCCACTCCTTTTGAGAAGAGGTTATATATTAGCATAAAATAAAATAAAATAAAATTAAAGCATGACAAAAAAAAGTTTTCGTTTTTCTTACCCAACATCTAAAACCTTGATGCCATCAGTCTTGATATATTCGTCAATAGGCGATGAAAAATTAGATTGCCAAATATAACGAAATAAATAATGTTGTAAAGTTAATCTATCCCAATTATGATTGTTTTTAGGAAAAGGGAATTTTTCATCTCTATACGTTTCTAAGGTGTCGTCTATCAAACCTTTCTTTTTAGAAACAAAGCATCCCATTATTATGTACGGTTTATTGTGTATACTTTATGTTTGATTAATAACTTTTAAATATTTAAAATTCCTAAAGATTTTTCAGGATCGTGATAAAGAATTTCAAGCAGAAAGAAATTTAATATTACGGTAAAATCAAAATTTATTTACCTTTATGTACCTAATCTTATGACACTCATGCAAATGTCAACAAAACTGTTTGAAAATTGTTTGAAAATCATGGATTTAATTGGCCCAAGAGTAATACAAAATAGGGCCTAAACAAATTAAATAAAAAAAAAAACGTCATTAAAGAAAACATCATGAATCTATTTTTTGTCAACTACTTTGAATCTTACTTTTAATCATTTTTTAAATTCGTATCAAGGATTAATATCTATTCTTAGAAAAAATTTATGTAAGAAAAAGAGGTGATACGAATGTTAAAACGATTAAAATTATAGCCTTCTATATATATCTAAATTTTGATTTTTTCGGAGTCATGCAGAGTTTGCTATCGTGATCTTGATTTTGATTAGGGAAGTTCGGTCCGGTCCTCAAAAGGAACATCCCTGAACTAGCTAAGAACGAGTCCATAACCCAGTACGAAACTG